CGGACTAGGTGCGTTCTACATAGTCACCCTGACAACAAGTCCAAGTTGCGACAACGAGGTCAACCCACTTCTATAAAAAGGGAATTAAATGCTCAGATGAAGTGCAAGGAGGCCTAGCAAGAAAGAAAGATTGGATGAGGCATCCAATTTTCTGCAATGCCTTAGAGGTTCCTTGATCCGTATGCTGATTTTTCCTCATGTTTCGCCAATATATTTCTGTTTACAGGCTCCGCATGATATACAGTAAACGCCTGAACAATCCAATCTATCTACCCTTTCATTTTGCGTTGGTAGACTTGTGGAAAGGGTTGATATTTCTTTCATGGCCACCGGAATATTCAATTTCCTCAAGATTGGCGTCGTTTTTGAGTTAGTTCGCAGGAAGCTAGGCATATCCACTTTTGTGAATCCTTCTCTGCCCTTACTGTTTTTTCATAGTCCCCATTCTGCCATCGGCTTTTTACGGCCCCTATGTTTCTTTGTATTACTTCGCAAGGGTAGCCGTTGCCAAGGGTATATCCTCGTCAATTTGTCTAGCTTCTCGTTCAATAATTTTACATCCGTTAGGCGTAGGCTTCTGAGGATCATGCTCCTCATTATTCCCATCTTTAGCCTGTGATTGTGATGGGACCGGAAATTGAGTATTATGCCAGCATAGGACTTCTTTCTGAACCATTTCTGTTTGAGTCTCCAATGAGAGCGAATCACTTCAACGTCCAGGAACGGTAACCGCTCATCTTCCTCTACTTCCATCGTGAATTGAATTCTTTCATCAATCCGGTTTCCACATCTCATAAACTCTTCCAGTTGTTCTCTTCCACGTGACCAAAGTGCGATTTCGTCATTCAGGTACCGCATGAGCACTGTCGGTTGTAGCGGTGCCATCTTGAAACTCTCTTCTATTTTGTTCATGTTTGCGTTTGCCAAAAGTGGCGGGAGCGGGAAGTCCAAATGTTTGTTCATAGACGGTCCCGTTGAATGTTAAATAACTTATCCTTATCGTCAAGTTGATTAGCCTTGTTAACGACTCCAGAATATCCTCCTCTCGGTCCAGCATTTCCAGCAGGGCCGTTGGCGCATTTTCTCCAGAGATAATTGTATACATGGATTCCATATCGAAACTTATCGATAGTTCTGTTTCTTCTGGTACCATATTTTTGATTTTTTTGAGAAAATTCATATAAATGTTTGACCGTGTTTGACAACATCTCATTTAATTTATTGAGTTTCAAGCATATAAACTTTGCTAATTTGTGTGCTACTCCAAACTTGTTGTTGACTATCAGCCTTAGTGGCTCGCCTACTTTGTGTATCTTCTGTAATCCGTTGACTGCTGGTGGTCGTGCGTCCTTTCTTATGATTCAATTTCTTGCCCGTGCGTCAATTTCCCCATTTCTATGTATTTATTTCAGCATGCCGCTTAGTTGGGTCCTTGTTAGCTTTACGATATGTGGTCCTGTCTCGCAAAATATGTTCCATCTTCTAGGAATATTGTTTTTTGTCCACTATTACTGTAGCTCCTCCTTCCTCCTAATTGTCCATTCGTTTCCAAGGTTTTGCGTAGCACGGCAAATCTGTTCCTGTTTATTGGCTCCTGATGTGTCAAGATCTTTGCAATTAGTTCCATCTCCATTTCCCGGGATTAGAGGCCCGAGTCGGATCAGCCGATCGGAAGAGAGGGGTTGGGTAGATAGCAAGTGTGATGGGGCCACACTAGAATTGCAAAATAAGGGCACACTTTCTGATGAGTATAATGTAAACAAGTGAGAATTCATGATAGGGCGGCAATGGGATAAGAGAATAAAGAGTGTATAGATAGGCCAGGACAGAATGAGGAGTGATAGTTCAACCGTTTGTCGAGGGATTGACTTCACTTGTCTCTTTGACGAGTTCGTAGCTTGGCGCGGCAATGATGCCGACTAAGATGCCAGCGAAACGTCTGAGAATGTACCAACTCAACTGTCTGATGCTGGGAATCATGACAACGACTTCGGACTAGGTGCGTTCTACCAAATCGCCTTGAAAACAAGACCAAGTTGCAACAACGAGGTCAACCCACTTCTATAAATCGAAAGAAGGCTGCGACCATACCAGAGGCCACAAAATCTTGGTCTTCTTATCTTCAATTAAATATCGCAAGCTCATCTTAGCTCTGTTAATT